GTTTGCAAATTCTGGCCAGTTCGACTGAAAAAAAAAAAAAAACTGACTCAAACATGGAAATGTATTAGCCTAAAGCCCATTGTATGTAGCTTCCCCATTGTATTAAAGGAACCTTGTAGCAAGCATGAAATACATGAAATCTAGTACATACACTACTTCACAGGGAAAAAGCAAAGATTTGTACCAATCTAAACCAATCTGTGCTGCTTAATCTTTGGTGGGTCATTGGTGGGTCGTCACCCCCATGTTTGAAATCACTGTATTAAAATGAAATTTTAAAAGCTGCACTCATCCATATCTTTTTAATAAAAAATGTATGAAATTAGTAATGTGTAAATGTGAAAGATGTCGCTCATGGTGACACACCCAGACAAAAAGATCACCCGACTCTCCAGCAGCTGGTTTTTTAGCGAATAAACTCTGATAATCTCACTGCTCATTATGCCCGGCACCAAATTTCAATTCATCACGTGGCCAGAAACTATGCAAATGCTAACGCTAGTGACTGCTAACATTACTCCATGCCTGTTAGATGTGTAAACATGCATGTGTTTGCTAATATGTTCGCCAAATCAACTTTGAGGTGGTAATATGTCAGAGTCAGTTACCTTGTCCTCTGAATCTACCCTTATCATAAAAGTATATAATATCACCTGCGTGTGCTGTTAAAGCTCTCACACAGCAACAAAAAGTTCCACATCAAGACAAAAGAGAAGAAAAAAATAGGTCCCTCGAGTTTTTTTTTTTATTTCTTGGGAGATGCTATCTGGTTTTCACTAATGTAAGTGACCTAGTTTCTTTGTGATGTCTGCCAACAGTGGCGGCTGAAGGTATACTATATATATATATATATATATATATATACATTAATGTCTGCTATTCCCTTCATATAACGTACAGTCTTACTATATAATTCAAAGTCAGTTACTGATTACACACATGCATCCACATGTGTAAGCACCCTCCCAAAACACACACACACACCCACATACACATAATTGCCACCATCACACACATCCACACACTAAATGCGATGTGGTATAGTGAGCTGTCAGACCGCACTAATTCCTCTTTTTATGTGTGTCTGTCCTACTGTGTAGCACAGGGATCAGGATTGCCTTTCAGGATAACAACTGAAGCTCTAAGCTCTTAGTGTGTGTGTGTGTGTGTGTGTGTGTGTGTGTGTGTGTGTGTGTGTGTGTGTGTGTGTGTGTGTGTGTGTGTGTGTGTATGTGTGTGTATCTGGGTGAACAACAATTGGCCGCTAAGCTGTAAAGAGCCTTGCAGCCACGGTGTCGCCAACAAATATCCACTGGCTGTCAGCAACGGACCAACTTTGTGTGTGTGTGTGTGTGTGTGCAGATGAGCCAACTTCCTGTGCTAGATTGAAGTTAAGTGCTGCTATTAGACTTAGGCCTCCAGTCGGGCTTTATTGTCTGGGCCAAAGACTCGATTATGCTAACAGAAACACACACGTGTGCAAGAATACACATGCATGTATGAACGTTAGCACACATGCACGCACACAGGTGTAAATGTTCAACATGTGCAAAGACCTGTCTGCAGCCCTTCATCCTGCACACACACACACACACACACACACACACCCTCCATCTCCTTCACACCCACTAAATGTTTATGACAGGTACTCTCTGGTGTCTCTCTTGCTCCCTGCGTCCTTGCCGCTGTAATCTTCCTCCTCAAGGCATAACAGTAGTTCAGCTGTCACAGAGTGAGACCTGCGTTGCATAAGATTTCGATTTCTAACTGTAGGCGCGCCCCGTAATTCACCTTGCAGAGCTGTACTCTCACCCAAAGGTGCGGAGGTGGACGTGTCTCCTAACACGTCTCTAAAACCTGAATATGAAACTTGAAAAAGGGCAAAAATTGTGAAATAAAAAGAGAAATTCCAGATGTTATGTTTAGTCAATAAAGGTAAAAAGATGATGAGGTGGAGTTTGCTTGTCACTGATTTCATTTTCTTTAAAAAACAAAAACTGCAGTTGTCTTTATGTAATTCGGCTGAACGCATAGTGAAGTGTGACAGTAGCAGAGGACAAGCTCAGTGGAAAGTTAAACCGCATTCAGGTGGGGTGATGCGCTTCAGCTTAGAGCTCGAGATGTGAGCCTCTCTTTCTCAGCCGCCCACATCGGAAAACAAGAAAGTGAAGTTCAGCTTCTGAGAAAACGCTCTCTCTGGTAGAGAAGAGAAAGGTGTGGTGGTGACTTTTTTTTTTTTTTTCTTTTGCACCTACAGTACGTTTTGTGGGGGTTTTAACACCACGGCCTCTTTCCATACACGTCAAACGGACTTTTCTGCAACAAGCACGGATCAGTGTGAATTATACTAGTACGAAATTTGATCTTAATTCCTATTAAAAGGTTTGGTTTAGAAAGCAGGTGATTTGGGGGCGTGGACTTCTCCAGACACTTCTTAAAAACCCTATCTCAGTTTGGTAATAACAATAATAGGGTAACTCGAAGAAAGGACTTTATGCCTTTGTCACTGTCACACAATAAACCACAGGGACCAAGTCCACACGCTTACAGGAAGATGATTTACCACAAAACAACAAAGAAAAAGTTTGATCAGAGAGGTTAAACCTGATTTTAGAGAAACGAGACGTCCTCTCCTTTCCTTCCTTCCTGTATTTTTACTGCGCTCAGATCAGTCAAACCGGTGTGTAAATGCTTGACACCAAATGTAATGCATTTGAATGCAACAGTGATTTCAATTTGCATTAATTGATACTGTTTGTAAATTTGTTATTTGGTAATCCGTCTATAATGTTTCGTATTTCTGAGCCACACAATGTGTTGAACATGCAGAGATTGAGGATAACTAAACATGCAGCACAGAACTACAGAACTATACCAGTTTCCCTCATAAGATATGATGCACTGTCCAGGTTTAAACTACCTTCTGCCGCCTCAAACTATTCTGGAGGCATGAAGTAACAGTGAAAGTAACCACATTTACCTGTGAGAACTTTAATTACATGTACTTTAATGTGTCTTACTGTGAATACTTTAATACTTCTTTATCTTTACTTTATATTGCATATATTTTGCCTCGCTGTGTGATATTTCTGCAGCAATGACCTGTTTCCTTCCTAAAGCTGCAGCAGAAAGGTCCAGGGGCCTTTTGGAAATCCATTTTATTCTCTTTATATGTTTTCATAGGGTGGCGCACACCTCTCTCGCCACCCTCTCCCTCTCCCTCTCTCACAGTGCTGTTTGATTGCTTAAGCCTGGCCGTCAGACAGACAGACAATGCGTCCATGAAGAATAGCCTCGCTTCCTTCCTGTCTTCCTGTGCTGCATTCTGCCTTGGTGAGCAGGGTGAATAGGCCGCTCTGCCCCACAGCCGCCATGAACCGCAGGGGCCACGGCGGCTAAAACCAACAAAGAGAGCCGTTCTGGGGCCTTTTTTTTTTCCCCAATTCACATCCCCTCCTCCTCCTCCTCCTCCTCCTCCTCCTCCTCCTCCTGCTAGTCTCTGCTGCCAAATCACTGGGACTGCCGGGCGGATAAACAATCTCTCTGCACTCTTGTGTTTCTTGTTTTTTATCCTTTTATGCACCAATTCTTACTCTTTGCTTGTTTTTCTTTTCTTTTTTTCTTTTAATTATTTGCACTAATTCTTACTTATAACATGTTGCCAACAAACTCTTTCACATAAAAAAATAACAAAAAAAACTGAAATGACCTGAGAAAATCCAAGTGAGCCATTTTCTTTTCAAGCATTCTCATATACTTTGTGACATAACTTTTTCCTCATTAGCACGACTGGAAAACTCACGTCCTTTTACTTTTAAGCTGCATATTCCAACATATTACTATTTTTTTTCTTCGACACATCCATCTGATCGCCCTACCCACCCCCAACAAGACAACCATCTCCCTATGGGAATACCAAGTAGGAGCAGGTAGCTGAGAGGAGCGTTGGGGAGCCAAAATAACCCCCCGACTATTGAAAACAGGATGAATGCATGCCGGGCTGAATACAGGGGTAAACTGTTAGGTCTTTGTCATTCAAAGTGATGCTTTTAACCCTTTGCGGTCCCTCTTCCTAACAACCCCCCCCCCCTCCTCCACACCCACCCTTTCCCTCTTCATTCACAGCTGAGACAATGCAGGGAGAGAGGAGGCCTGCGACTGGAAAGATAAAGACTAAACACAAGATCAACTCTCCCTTTTCTGTCTCTAATGGGATTCTGCCCGTTATGTTTCCATCTCCTCTCCTCCTCACCGCTGTAAAATAGGTGAAAGTTGATAATTATGGAAAGAACCCCCCCATCCCACCCCAGCCCAGCCCTCTCCTCTCCGTCAGTCAAACGCTGGGGGATGAATAACAAACAAGTGAGCGCAGGTTGGGCCTCGGCGTGTCAATCACTGCTCTGAATGCATACTGTGTCGCAAACATGTCCGTATGCTGTCAACAAGTGTCAGGAGCTTATGTTTCAGGCTTATGTTTCGCCTGCAGGGATATTCAAAACCAAGGAATTCCTGAACAAACCTTTGATAAAAAAAAAAAAAATGCATGGAAAAAAAAGGCTAAGATCTGCAGGATCATGAGGAACGTGTATGAAATGAACTGGGAGTCAAGCCAGATTGTAATAGTAGGTTTACATGAATGCATACCTGCAACAATGCAGGTGGAGTGTTTGATTTATACGATGAAAAAGAAGCCACAGAACCAAATTTTGGAGGTAAAGTAAGTCATTTTCTGGAGTGCACATGAGCACATTCCTATACACATAGCTTTACCAGAGCCAGATGTCTCTCTTAAAGAGGGCCCAAAGGTGAACATGAACGCATCCTCGTTTGATCTGTCTAAACATCGTGGACTGATTCTGCAGCACAGACAAAGTGGCAGAGGAAGGTCGACGACAGCTCTCGTGCAGATGTTCAATTAAAAGTGTCCATGCAGATGCTTAAATGAAACCATACACTGATTTAAAAGAGACAATAACAATGCAGAAAAAATAATCCGTCAGACTTCAAGGTTTAATTTCAAACGTTAATATATTTGTCTTCTAATTCATAGTGAACTATTCATCCAGCTTTGACACTCCTACAGGTCACCTCTAATCTGCAGTGACTACAGAATAGCCCCAAAAAGAGGTGACACATTTAACAATTCGTTCTCAAAATAAATATTTTTCATTATAAAATAATAAACCTTCAAATAAATATATATTTTTTAACTTTACACTAAGCAATGTTGGAATTAGAAAATATTTTTTTTCATAAAAGGTCACTGTACAATTTACAAGTAGAAGGGATAAGATTTTTCCTTTGTAAATTACATAAAAATGATTGATATACATTCCAGTGAATGTAAAAAAAAAAAAAAAAAAACATTGTATGAATGACGTTTACTGATTCATATAAATGTGAATTTATCGAGGTGCCTCTGGTATGGCAGAAAACTTTTCACAGTTGAAGTATTATTATATGTACAAAAATAAAACATCTGTCAAACTCATTTTCTAATGTACATAGCCTTTGCATTTACTACTTTACATATAGTTAGTAACAGGAGTCTGTTCTTAGAATATAAGTTGTATTAAATGTTAAAAAAAAAAAGGCTATCCATTTGGACTCTCGTAGCCACAACACCATATCTGAGCTCTACCTGGGCAAATTATTCTTCAGGACAAAACAGTAGTTGAATGTGTCTTCATACCTTTAAACATGTGGAGCGCTTATTTTGGTTTACCTTTCAAGTGAAACTTATAATGCTAAGATGAGTGAATGCACCTCCAGCGTGGAACTGGTGGGCATGAATGATGGAAAACAAAAACTCAAGCACAACAGCATCATTAGCTTCTTAATCGAACCTTTCCACTACACAGCTACAGGGCCAAGACATCTATCAGTTCAGTCGACATGGAGTCCTTCCATCCTTCTGCATTTCAGCACACATTAACCATCTCGTCTACGTTTGCTTGCCGTCATCCTCACAGTGGATTGGTTTTGTGTTCTTGCACCGACAGCCGGGTCGTGTGACTCGGTCATAGCAGCTCTGGCACGCGGCGACACATCCTTTAGCCGGGAGGTAGCACAGGATACAGGGGAAGAGCAGGGAGAGGAGGGACACGGTGGTCCAGCGGACGCAGCAGTGAGACTGCGTGCACGAGAAGGGCTTGTCAGCGCACGTGTCCTCGTCGTCGCTGGAGCAGTGGTAGAACAGCCCCTTGACGCAGCAGACGCACGTCCCGTACTCCACCGCGTTCTGCGCCGAGCACACGCACCTCCGGCCGCACATCCAGCAGGAGGGAAGCACCCGCGGGCGACTGCACTCCAAACACTGGCACCGACCACAGTCCTCACACTTGTTTGAGTGTTTACCGAGATTTTTATGGCCTCCGCTGCCTGGCACTGCCACCACCGCCATGGACTCATCGTTCAGGGGTTTCAACTCTTCTGAGTTCAGCTCTGCTCGTTTCGGCTGGGTCCTGATGATCTGGTCGCCCCCTGCTGGGCTGCTGAGGAGCCTCTGGCCCGAAGAAGTGCTCCCCACGCTGGTCCTGATACTACTCTGGGAGTCCTCTACACTGGAGGACCGCAGCACACCCTCCCTGGAAGAAATGGATGTATTTGTGTTTCCATGCTGAGTCAATGACTGCAGGTTGCGGAGGTTATTAGGCCTCTCTTCCCGAGTCTCCTGCTGCCCACTTGTCCTTGAACCAGGTGACGACAACAAGTCGTTCTTCTGTTGCCTTTGCTGAGTGGCCGGAGACCTTTGGGCGACTGTGGGCCCTTCTGAATATTCATTACTACTCCCAGTTATCCTAATCTGATCCAGAGATAGCACTGCTAGAGTATGGGGCGGCTGCCCGTTGTTCAGCCCAGTATCTAGCGGACCATTGTGGGTTTGAGGAGGCCATGGTTGCGGTGTCCCTTCGTCATGCGGCGTGCCCGACAAGCTGGTCGATGACGGTGACCGTCCGTGGTGTCCTCCTCCCCCGTCGCTGTCGTTCTGACTTCTGGAATCCATCTCGGGACTGAAGGGCCACTCTGACTGGCATGGGACACATCTGAAGTCCTGTAAAAGAAACACACACTTTATATCCGTCTGTTACCAGCCATGCAAATGATGCCATGCAAATCATAACTGATATCTGTACAAGCACCACTATGGAAATAAGGCCCAACAAACACGCACATTGTTGGGGACAGAGATGGGTGCGTTTGATTACGTAGTTCACTTAACATTTTAAGCCAGTAGTTGAGGGGTGGTTGGGCCTTTCACTCAAGAAACAGTCAATGTAACTATGGCAACAGTCTTTTTGTGTCCACTATCAACAAAATTTGATTGTGCAAAGCTGTTGCAAGTTCCAGATCCAAACTTAATGTTTAAGAACTGTTAACTTCCTGTTTTGCCACACATACAGTGTGACACAATGACTAACCAGACTAATATTGATTGACTGACAAAAACCTCCATAAATAAAGACGTTGGTTTGGACCTCAGAGCTAAAAACTATTAATTCGTTGATGAACAGAAAATCAATCTGCATGGCGCCCTCATAAGTTAAGATGGCGGCCGTGAACTGCAACGTCCCTAGTTCAAGTTTAGTCTGGAAACTTTGCTGCAACTCTCGCCCTCATTTCCTGTCATCTGTCCACCGTCTGTAGCAAAGGCGTAAAATGCCCTAAAATAATTAAAAATAAATAAATAAATACAGAAAGAAAATATTTTCGTAAATACTGACTGACTGCCACACTTCTTAAATTAATATATCCTGTTTTGTTTTTTATACCAAACTTAATATTGTTAGATTTTGGTCAACGGAATATTTCAACTTGTGCTTTAATAAACTGTGATGGACGTTTTTTCTTTTTTTTCCTATTTTCTGTCATTCTATGGACCAAACGATTAATCGAGGAAACAATCAGATTAGAGCCAAATAAATCAGCCGCTATCTTCTTAATCTAATAAATCAAGCAGGTGAGGATGTCATAATTTTTTGTCATACATAATAGTAAAGTGAATATTATTGGGTTTTGGATTGTTGGTCAGACAACACGAGACACCTGAAGACTGGGGGACATTATAACAGACATTTTTCTGACATATTATAGACGAAAGGACTAATCAATAAAATAACGAGCAGATTAATCGATAATGATAAGAAATAATTGTTAGTTGCAGCCTTAATGGACACGTGCTTATACTTATAATTTATTACAGCGTGTCGAACAAGAGCAAATATATGTGTTCAATTTACAATTTCCTTATATCTTGGAGGAGAGGGTGTGTATGCCGATGTTCAAAGTTAAGTTCATTTCTGTGGGTTTATCGAGGGTTTAAGAAAGCAGGGCACTTTACTGAAGACTGATGTGGGTCAAACAGATAACACAGACATGGGAAAAGTTAAAGCACTTGTAAGAGGGAACTACATGGCTTAAAGGAGGGCACTTAATTGCTTTTTCTTAATTACTGGGCAGCCGTCTGATGCAAGACTTCAATACCATGTGTACATTTAAGTTTCTAACCCTGAACAACAATGCTGACCTCTCGTCTATAGGGACTCACATGCCCCAGATCAGTTATTATCTCACAGATTCATTGTATGGAGAGGGTAAGGATTAGCATATTGCACTGTCACTCTGCATTAATCTAACATATTCAAATGCACAGTCTTGTTTTCACTAACATATCACACCAAAGTAAAGAAACTGACAGTGGTGGCCTTAATTCTCCTTCCTTGCGCTAATTAGCTTTCAAATGCCTTCTTTGGAGGGGGGGTGGGGGGGTGAGGCCCCCCTTTCAATGACAATACAGGAAGGGCTTTTGTTTGTTGCATGACAAATGGCCCGCGGCAACCTTCCCCATTCTAACACATTTACATTGTGACACTCTTGAAAAGAAGATGAGTGACAAGATAAAAAAGTTTGGAGCATGAAAGAGCCCATGTAAACTGTGAGTGATGCGCTCAAGGGTGGTGATGGTGGGAGTGAAGCACTGCTCTGTGAGCATGCATGAGGGTTCTTTGGGATTTATGAGCTTTCTGCTCCACATGAAGGGCTTGCAAGGCACACTCAAATTTTAATCTAGATGGAGGGGTGGGGGTGTACAGCCCCTCATCTCCTTATAGGACCTGTGTGCAAGCCGTGTTGGCCACAGTGAGTGGGTGGCTGAGGTGTGAGGGCTGATGGGAGTAAACTGGAGCAAGCTGATGGCATCCGCTCTTAAAAATGACAGTTCAAGACTAAAGTTCTGCATGGAGAAAACTGACAAATGACAAGGCTGCAGCCAAAACTTAACACAACATGCTGGGTTAAATATAGAAATCCTGTGAGTAATATTGTTCCTGATACACACAACTGATGAGTTAAGTGTTTTCCACTAGTGTTAGAGTGCAGTGGCAAAAACAGTCATAAAAGCTCAGCAGATATACAGTGTGCACAGGGGGAGGAAACGCAAGACTATACTTTATGTGGACGCACATATGAGCAAACACATGTGCCAGCTTGGACACTACTTACCTAACAAAGCAGACGGCAGCAGCGTTATCAACAATCAAGTTAGACATTAGACTTAGCCCAGGGACAGACACAGGCTGAATATTAGATAGTGCGAAAAACACCTGTCTTCATTAGCGGAAAAATGCACTAAGTCAAAAATGGCCACGGATAAGAAGTTCAAACTTGTCAAAGTTACGACAGCCCTTTCTAGTAAAACCATAACATATGTAAAGCCTATAGTGAGCTAAAGGAAGCGGAGGGGAGATGGGAAGAGGCTTCACATAATAACAAACAAAAAGTACAATAACACGTGAGTCAAGAAACAAGTGTTGTTTTGAAAATAAGTCTTCAACTGTTTGTAGTTTACAAAAGGCGACACTTACCGTGCTTCCGACACTTTAGCCCCCGTTTAGGTGAAATATATCCAATTTGGGCGAGAGTTTATTCCCTACATCAGCAGTTCAGTCGGGGAAGCCGTCGTTAAAATCCATTGAGAAAGTTTCCGAGTGGAGCGCATTTTCATTAAAAGCAGCGCTAAGACGTAAATCCCGTGTTTTGCGCAAGAGCACGAGGCAAAACTTTCAGTCAGTCACCGCCGGAGGGTAAACTTAGCTTGACTCCACTTTTCCTGCAACAAGGAGGAGAAGAAGAAGAAGAAGAAGAAAAAAAAAAGAAAGAAAAGCGAGCGACAAAAAACTCCAGCTCCGAAAGTTTTAATTTGGCGTGTTTTATCCGCAAGGCTCTGAGAGGTTGCAAGTACTTTTCCTCGTGTGTGAGTGTTTTTTTCTGCTCTTTCCGGAGAGGAGGTCGGGATTTGGGCTGTAAATGGCGTCAAGCTGAAGGGGGGAACAGAGCGCTTGTTGTTGCAGCGGATATCTCGCATCCGGTGCTCAGCCATTGGCTGCTAGAGAGCAGCCATTCACACCCAGTCTGATCAATTCTACAGCAGCAGCCAAGCACTGCTGGTCAACTGCTGCCTTCCTGAAGTCTTTAGTTTCTTATCAGTGCTGACCCATTTTTTTTTTCCTACATTACCACTGCTCTGAAATGATCTGTTACAGCAGGTCATGCTGGTGGAGTTTGTGGATAGTTCAAGTTTCACACAGGCTGAAAATTAGCAGGTTGTCACCAGATCACTAATGGAAACAATTACTCACTACAAGACTTTTGCAATATTGTCTTCATCTAAATTCATGGAATATATCATATAAAAAAACAAACTAAGTTTCAAAAGACTCAAATATCTGTGGTTGTATTTTTGTATTGTATTTAACTTTGTATTTAATTTAGTTTTTCCATTTCATGTTACTTTATACTTCCACAAAACGTCAGGGGGACCTATTGTACTTTTTACTCCACTACATTTATCTGACAACTGTAGTTACTTAACACATTAATGTTTTATACACAAAATATGTGATTATCCTATAGATCAAGCTACCCAATAATACAGAAAGTAGCACATGTTAGCTGCACCTTGATAAAATACAATATTTAAATGATTATAATAATCCAGTCATATAATGTGGATGATAACTCATCATCATCATATACTCAATATATTTTTAGTATATTTTGCCAGTCATACTTATGTACTTTTACTTTGAAGGACTTTTATTTATAGAGGATTTTTATTAAAATTGTATTGGAGTATTTGTACATTGCAGTATTGCTACTCTGACTTAAGTGAAGGATGTAAATACTTGCAAACAGACCATTATTTCCCAATATTTCAGCTGAAATGTAGCAAAGTATTAAACATTAAATAGAAATAACAAATTACATCAATACAACCACAGATATTTTAATAGGAATTATAGAATTTGTACTTTATTTTTGCCCACATATGATAGAAGAAAATCATTTGAAAAAATTAGTCCTTTTTTATTTTTTATTTCTAACATTTCATAGAAAACTATTTGTTTACTTTTCTTCATTTTCATATTTCATATAACTTTAATTAAGATCTGGATACACACAATTTGAGCAGATAAGTTCAAAACAAACTGAGTGGTGTTAGTGCAAGGACTGCAGCGTCAGATAACTTCTATCAAAATGAAGTGCACTATCAAAAGACACAGGAGTAGTTTTTTTGCACATTGACTCGCCTTTGACTTCGAGAGAAGCTAGTTAATCATACTGAGCATCCCTGGACACTGTTCATTCTGAACCATTAGAGGCTCTTTGCCAGGCTGATATAGATCTGAAGTTAAAAGCAATCCACGGGAAGTGATACAACTAATTAGCAAACCAATACTCTCTGTTTACTCTCAGCTGTTGTGAATAATTGTGGAGCAGCACTCCCATGTGGACGCTCCCAAACACTGCAGCTTACAATCAATACAGGATAATAGGATTTGACACTTAAAAAGATTTAAAAAAAAAGAAGTCTAAATAAATGATCAGAGCAGCTTAAATGTCCATGACAACCATCTGGAAAGTTTATTAATTATTCTTATAATCAATTTTGATTATCTGAGGCTCTATTTTTGTTATACAGCAATTCACTCCCACATACAGTTTGGCCTGTTATAAAGCAATGTAATAAATAAATACATAAATAAAAACACCAGTGAGGGAACATCGAACAATAGCATGTCAGGATCCAAACACAGTGCTCCACAGAGCTTCACTGAAAACAATGTGAGCTGAGACATCTCTCACCCTCTTTCCGCTATTTTAGTAATAGAGTGTGTGATCAATTCCAGACAGAATAATTATGAAGTTGGGAGTACCACACTACTGGGAGAGGTCACTTTAATCAACTCAGAGTATGACTTGGCAAATTAACTTGGATCCAGATCAGGAGGCTTTCAGACTTCCCTATTTCTTTTAACAATTTGTCTTCCTTTGTTATTCCTGTCTCCCTGGTTGTTGTTCATTTACCTGCAAAGCTTTTAATTCTTCTTCATAGTGTTGACATAATTAAAATGTTACATGCTTACAGCAGGAGCATGTTATGGGAAATGGTTTTGTTGGAGATTTCTTGCACGTAGAGGCAGAAATATAAAAAAACAACACAAAAAAACAAGTAATTTTGATGGTAAGCTCAGCAGATATTAACCTATATTTGCCGCAAACTGGCACTCACCGAAGTCCCAGCTCCACACATGCGCAACTCTTTGCCCATTTCTCGATTAGCCGGGAGTTCGGCGGAGTCAGGCACTGCCAAGATGGCAGACGTCTTCCGTGAGTGACGTCACAGAGGCTACGTCCATCTATATTTACAGTCTATGGCCTCAGCACTTCACCAACTAGCCCTGCAAGTTGTCACTGTATTACCAAGCTTTCGACCCCATTTACTTCACATGGATGAGCAAATGTCAGATAATTGACATTTCTAGCAACATATCAGCATAGCATAAAAACAAAATGACTTATTTGTACAACCTTTAAATTTATGCTGGTTTTCTGCACACAGAAGTCCCAGCATTACCCCTGAACATAAAACCTGAATAAAGAGTATTATCTGCAAGAGCACATGATGTTCCCGTTTTGTTTTTCTCTTGCCGAAATTCACTTCCCTCTCATTTCAGCAATTTTCTGAATAAACAACAAGTTTCATTTACTTACTTTTCACATCTGTTGTGCTATGATGCAACGGCAACAAATTTGAAAAAGTATCCTCAATAGACGCACTTCTGCTGATGAGCTACGCAGCCAGGCATAAGTATGAGTGAAGGGTGAAGAATTAGGCTGATGACTAATTTTCCTCTTATTTTAGATTCACACTAACATCCTGCTGATTATGTAAACATGTGACTTGTTTTTTTTTTTTTCGCTGGGAAACGAGCACTCAAGTGGACAGACAACCCTCATTTCCCTCCTTACTTAGGGCACACCATGCACCTTCAATCAGAACTGTTTCCTTAAGGGACTTGGTGCAATCAAGTGTGGATGTACAACACTAAGGGCCTTTACAGGCTGTTTGCCTGCTCCACCCAAAGCTAGAAATAACTCAAAACCATTAAATTAAGGCACCTTTAGCATTTGTATTCACTAGATAAATACTAGAAAGTGTGATTACTGGACTCCAGCGCAAGAAAAGTAAAGATAAATATACCTGTAGCACACTCTAAATTAATAACATGGTGATAGGCAATAACATTGCTTCACCCATCTTGTTCCCAGAAAATGTGTTGATCCACCTTGACAATAAAAGACCACTTAGTTGAATTTAGCTTGCATTCCAGTAGTGTTGGAGGCTTTAACATCCATCATGTACGCTCGCTCAGCCATCTCTCAGGCTGCCGAATCAAACATGTTTAAAGTCCATTGACCATGGAGCCAGCCATGTCTGAAAATTGAGTATTTAATGACCACAGAGTTACAGCAATTCCAAAAGTTTTGGTCCTGCGCTACAAGCAATGGTCTTTCTTTTCTTCTCCCGGAATACCTGAACAGTGAATCTCACTCCCGCTGCGCCCGGCAGAATAAAAAAAGAGAAAATTGAAATGAAACCTAAAACCCCTGCTGCTGCGGGAGATGAACTGTGTCTGGATTGTCAAGCAGACACTGCAAACTGTTTGAAATAGCCTTGTAAAAGGACAGACTCTCAAAGTCCATCGCCTCTCCTCCCTCGCTGGCACACATGCCGAGACTGAGCTCAGGCTGCTGTTTTGTTGTGATATGATCCTGATGAATGGGCCATTACAGGTGCCAGGTTTAGCATTGTTCTGCATTTATTCAGAAACGTGTCTATACAAATATAACAAAGACATTCATTTTACAATGTCTTTATCGATCGATGATTGATTGACTTTGCTAAGACCACACATGCTACTGTCAAGCTTTCCGTTCTCACATGGCTAACAGCTGCAGATTTATCACTGAGAAGCCTCGACAAAGACTCTTTGATTTCAGACAGAGGTTGACAAAATCAGGCTTCTCATTTCCAGCCAATGAGCAAGATAGAGCTTAAATTCAGTAATAAAGCAGGAGCACCTTAAGGTCCTCATCATGCCAGTTGATACTGCACATCTCAGGCAAATTTTTCAATTAAATTAGCACAAAGCAGATTTGAGGACCTGGGGGAGTTTCCACAGTCAGTAAACCAGCCTGTGTTGGCTTATAGCAGTGATTATTTTATCTCTTAAAGTAGGAAAGCAAAAAGAAAGAAAGCATAATATTCGGTTGAATGCCCACCGCAAACCAGTGGACTCAAGCAGCCAGTGTCGAAGGGGTCACAAGTAGACATGACTTCACAAGCCGAAAAGGTTGGCAACCACTGGCAGAGACAGTACAATGCCTTTGTGTGGAATCTCACCTGCTGTGCCCAAACCAGCACTGTGCTGGTCAGATTTTGGAATTGACTCAGAGCTGCTTTGACTTTGTCGACCTCTGAAAGGAAAGTTATTCGAGTCCAAAAGGGAGGAAGCTATTTTTTTTTTTTTTTTTTGCACGTTGAAATGTATATGATTCTTCTTCTTTGGCGTAATAAATACTGTAATGAAGACGGCCTGCAGGATCACACATTGAGTGGATGGTGTAACTTGTTTTAGCTTTCTGCTTCGTCTGGGGCCTTAATTTGACATTTATTTGGCCATTGATCGAATTTAAAGTTAGAACTGACTGATTGATTTTTAAAGTGGCTATTGCCAACAGACACAGAACAATTTCTGATTGGCTCAGACCAAGAGGGTGTTATATTGTAGCCGGTTGAGGAGAAATGACCTTCATGATGAATTGGATTTTCACTGTTAGTGCTCCACATGTCACAAATAAAATCTACAAAAATCTTATTGTCACATTTGAGGACATCACCACTTGTAACTTTGAGCACTTAATCCATAGAGTATGATATAGTCCCTCTCTTTAACATCAGACCTCAGAACATAAACACATCATTCAGAA